TCCTTCCTTAAAGATGACTTTTTTTCCTGCAAGTGTTGAATTCTACTTCTGGAGTGAGAATATATCTTATTGGGGTCTGATTAACAAAATTGGATTGTATCTTCAGTGTCATACTGGAAGAGTAAAAAGCATGAATGTTCAGATTGGCTGCAAACAGAAGTTTAATATTTTTAATCGTATAGCTCAAATGCATCACTTGAGCTAACTTCCACTGTTGACTGGCTGTAGCGGTAGAGTTGTCGTAATACATCTTGATTATTTTCAGCAAGTCTGCTACATTTTATAGACAACAATCTGATATATAGACTTGGTGGATTACTAAGTTAATTTAACATTTTCAATTAGGCGACTATACTCTATATTTGGTTGTGCTCGATAATTTACACTCAACTGTATGTACTAATGTGCTATATTTTGCACTGAAAATTTTCCATCTCGTGCAGTGATCCATGAGCCTAATGGGCCAACTCCACATTCACAGTTTGAACATTCATCTGTTCCGGCAACTGTAAAGAAGCTGTTCAATCTGAACACAAATTTTCTTACGAAAAGAGATGCATGGGCGGGTACATTTGAGAGCTATTTCTCCCTTCGGAAGACCCCTCGAACTGATTGTCCAGGTACGTATTATATACATTTCATTTGCTTGCACTGGAATTTATATTCAAAACTTGTTATTAGCCACTTACCTTTTGTCCATCTTCTAGAAACTAAATTTGTCCAAGATAAATAAAGAGTTGCATGTGTTTTTTCACAAATTGATGAGTTCCTTTGATCATAAAAATTAGCTAATATTTTATCAAATGCCATGAGTAGCAAACAAGTTTGATCTCTCTCTCTCTCTCTCTCTCTCTCTCTCTCTCTCTCTCTCTCTCTCTTATTTATTTTGACCTAATGCGTGCGGTTCAAATAGGAATATATGAGCTCCACCTCTTACCCCAACAAATACTAAAGATTATGTGCTCTTCTCTCTCTCTCTCTCTCTCTCTCTCTCTCTCTCTCTCTTATATTTATTTTGACCTAATGCGTGCGGTTCAAATAGGAATATATGAGCTCCACCTCTTACCCCAACAAATACTAAAAGATTATGTGCTCCCTCTCGTACCCCCAACAAGTACATTTGCTTCTTTGGCTGGGTGAATTTGTGTTGGTAAATATTCTCATCTCATTACCATATTGCAGAGAAACTCCCAGAAGTAGTGAGGTCACTAAGGGCATCGGGAGCAAAGGAGGATGTTTCTCTTTCGGAGTTTCAGGTGGAGCTTATCCAGCTTGCTTCTCAGCTCAACGGAGACCATGTCCTTAATGCGTATCCAGACATTGGCAAGAGTATGAGTGTGAGGCAAGCAAACCGATATGCTGAGGATGCAGTTGCAAGGTTCTTGGAAGCTGGGAGGGCTGCATTGAGGGCAGGGGCTAATGAGTCAGCGATTGTCACCATGAGGCCTGCACTCACCAGCAGGACTCCCAGCCCTTCGCTTCAAACTAGTTGAATCTCATTAAATGTGGAGCTTCCAAAATGCCTGTATCTTCTTCGTAATATGTATATATGAATTCATGAACCCCATTGTTATCTTGTATATCATGTTCTCCGAATGATTTCGGGGGACTTGGAAGGAATCCCAATGACGACACGACATAGGATCCCAGATACAAGGATCCTCCAAGTTATGTACTGTAGTCTGCTATCCATGTTATGTTATTGATACTGATAAGCTTGTTGGGGTCTTTCCTATTATAAACTGCAGTCGTGTGCGTGCGAGAATGTGTTTGGTTTATGCGTGAAGCGATGGTGTATCCTAGATTATTTTCACATGGCTAGAAAGAAGAGCCATAATCCGGCAAAATCATGCAGAAAGGATAGAGTGTATGAATATCATAATCTAGAACTTTAATTCCTATATGGGGAAAACAAAAGAAAACACATGTAGTTAAACTACAGTATGTCTCTTATATATCTCTTATTACCAACTGTAGATTAGATTAGGAGAGTAAAAATATATAATAATAAAACATTCCAGATTCAAAAGAGAAGCGTATATAATAGAATCAATAAAGTCTGAATTAAATAAATAGAAATAGAAATAGAAAGGGGGAAAAAAAGAGTAAAAGAAGAATAACCCAACATAGTTTAGCTGACTTGGTTAACTGTCTTATGAGTAGTACTTCAACGTCTTTGGGAGGTTCGACTCTCCTCCGAAGCACCCACGGTCTTAGGTTCGACTATCACCCACGGGAAAACTAATTTGCTAGAATACGTGTCCTGAGGTCAATATTCATAGTCACGAGGAAAATCCCTCGTCAAGGAAAGGAAGGAAAAAAAAATAAAGAAATTGATAGACATAAATGGAAGGCGCAGCTAAAATTGGAAGAATAGCGTGGAGTCACGCACGCGGTTCCCCTGTGTTGTAGAACAGTGGAATTAGGGCTAATTAATAAATTAGAAGAATTAGTTACTTAGGGGCTGTTTGGTTCGTTTCCTTGATATAGGGAAATGCAACTCCATGTAAAGAAATATAAGTTTTGAGTTTTCTAAACTTTTCCAAGAAATAGATTGTTTTGCTTTGGTTCGCACATAAAAAATGGTGAGAAACCAATGTATTTATTTTTCTTGTGTTTGGTTCGCATAGAAAAAAAAGAAAACTTTTGTAAACAAAGCAAAGAAGGAAAAAATCTGACGTGTCAGAGTTTTCATCAATTTCACTCGGTTGGGGAAGGAAATCGGAGAGGGAAAAAAAATCTGAGCTGGCGGCGATTTCAGCAGAGTTTTCCCTCTTCCATCCGAACGAACCAAAGCGGCACAAAGAAATGGACGGAAACAAAAAAACTGACGTGGAGGACTAAAAATCTGACGTGGAGGGGTTTTCTGAGTTTTCCACCCCTTATAATAGCGAACCAAACAGCCCCTTAATTGAAGAGAGAAGTTCCTTGATATGATTTTTTACACGCGTCGTCTCGTCCCCTTTTCATCTCAACCTCTTTTTTTAAGAAGGGGGTTGGGGTGGTAGCGACTGAAGAAGAAGAGGATTCAGATCAGGCCTCGTTTTTGTTTCCAAAACCCATCGAATAGAACCGAATAGAATCGGAGAGAGATGGGAGACGGGGTAATAGTAATAGCAGCAATCATCGGCGGAGTCGAGGCGGAGGCAAAGAAGGAGAAAGAGAAACGTTGGTGGTGGATCACGGAAAGAGGAGAAGCCCCTGCGGTTACTGCAAATCCACCTCCTCCTCTAGCATCTCCCATGGTTTGTTCTTTTTTTTTTTTCTTTCCTTTTTTTATTCTTATTGTATAGATCTACCTCCCTTCTTTCTTTCATCAACATCAACATCTTAGCTCAAATTCTCCATCACTGCTTGTCGTCGTCGTCGTCTAATAAATCAAAGTCCCTGCAATTTCTTTGTAATTCTCTCTCTCTCTCTCTCTCGTTTGCAGGTTTATGGGCACACAGCATTACGGTTGATGATTACCAAGGTATTCTGTCATTGCATATCATATTAACTTCATTGATTTCGTTTCGTTCACTTGCTATGTGCGAAATTCTGTCTGGCCATGCTCACTTTGCTAGCGTGTTAATTGTATCAGACATCCCTTGTTCGTTAGGATGTAACCAATCCTCCTCCACCATAGCCATCTATCTATATGCTTCACCATATATCATTTTCCCTATATGCTTAGTACATCAGCCCCCCCTCCCCCTCGCCTCCCCAGTATCTATAGTTCTACATACATTTATGACCTTGGCTTCCGACCTGTTTTTTTTAATTTACCATTGCAATGTTTTGATTTCATCCACAGTTGTGGTATCTTTGGTACTGATACGAGTCGTCGTGCGAGCACCTTCGATCGCGGAATTATCAAAGGTGGGTTGAGAAGAGGATGACAGAAACACAAGAATAATTCAGTATGTAGCGAAGGAAAATACCCTCTAGATTATGATATGAAAAGATTACAATCCCCCTCTCACAATCTCACTAGAATCGAGAACAAACTCTCAATTCTCTCTAAACCCTAATCTCTCTTGATTAGAATCTCTTTGATTACATTTGATTGATTAGAAACCCTGAACAATCCCTTATATAGGTGTAACAACGTGGATGGCAAAGTGGTAAATAACCAAGCCCAAACCCCACAGGAATTCATGCAAATAGAAACTCAAACGAATCAGAAAACCATCGATGAGTCGACTCATGTGCATATATGAGTCGACTCATGACACATGGGTCGACTCATGTAGTGATGAGTCGACTGGTCAGAAACTTTTTACAAAACGGCTGGGTTTCGTGAGTCAACTCATGACAGGCATGAGTCGACTCAACCTGATGAGTCGACTCATGTACATGTATGAGTCGACTCACGGGCTGAAAACCGGATGGTTCGATTCTTCGATTCGTTGTCTGGTTCCATGCTTCAACCTGCGTTTTCCTGTGTTGTTTTACACCCCTATTCTCAAGTTACCATGAGAATCATCTATCCTCAAGCTTCCATAAGGACCGTTAAGTTCCGAAGAGAAGATACACGCCTATTATGGGTCTCCCCTTTAGGAACTTGAAGTCTCATTCAAGTTAGAACTTTAGCTGAGGAAACTCGCGAGCTCCTCCATCCTTTCTGTACCACCTGGCTTTGTTAGGAACCTGATATCGACGTACAACTGAAAACGACTCCTTCGTTCCTCACCTCATCGTAGTCATCTTCCGCTCCAACATGCAACTCCTTTTCGATGGCTCGTCATGAAGTCTAATGCACAGCGAGACGAACTTCTTGTTTGCATTCACTAGCCTCTTCGCTCGCGTCACCGTCGCCAAGTTTGCCTCCCTCGGAAGAGACGCCGAACGAAATATGAACTTTTCACCATCCTTGGTGAATGTGTACTTCTGAGTTCGTCTTTCGTAGATCGCGTATCTATCTCACAAGTACGGATTGTCCAGTATAACCTGATAAACATCCAATAGAACGACGTCGCACGTGACCTCGTTAATATACGACTCGTGGAGTGCAAATCTGACAGTGTATTGATCAACTACACTTAGTCCCGTCTTCTTCTGAATCCACCCCAATGAATAAGGTTTCGGATGCTTGACTGTCTTCAGACCCAGCTTCTGAACCAAGGCCTCGGATATCAAATTTTTTCGTTGCCTGGATTAACAATTACATCAACCAAACTGGTCTTCACTTGTAACTTCAGCACAAAGAGCTGCTCTCGGGGGTCTTCGTCCTCTTTCATAGCATGTTTCCTTTCCATAAGATTGAGATTACTGTTGGGCTCTGTCATCCCAGGAACTTTCTTCGGACACTGTGCTATCACGTATGCCTTTTTCTCTTTCTTCTTCAATCCCTTTGGCTTCAGATGATGATACTTCTCCCAACATCGATTAGCGATATGTCCTGTCTTCTCGCAGTGACTACAAATTAGTTTTGTTCTCCTTGGATCACCCTTCTTCTTCTCTTTATGTTTGGAACCACTAGACTTACCACCCGTCTGTTTTGCATCTCATTTTACCTTGTTCTTCTTTTGCTTGCCCTCGATGGCAATAGCTTTCACGTTTGCCTCTGCAATAGACTCGACCGTGAATAGCTTCATCTCCTTCCGGATGTATTCGTTCAGACCTATCATGTACTTCATGAAGATGGAGTATTCGTCCGTCGCGACGTTTAGAACCATCGTCTGCTGCTAGAACTCCGTCGTGTACACTTGAACGGTCTGATTGAATCTTTGGCGTAAGCCGTACTATTTGTACCAACGCTCCTTAAGGAACCCCACTGGATAGAATTGCTTTCTCAGTAGTTCTTTAAATTTGTTTCACGATACCGTCTTCTTCTCTTGCTTGCAGTAGGATTTTTATCACGTCAACGCATGTCCTGAAAGCTTCAAAGTCGCGAACACAATCTTCTCCTTGGATGAATATCCATAGAGAGTGAAATACATCTCCATACGCTTGATCCAATCATCGAGCTTCTCCACATTGACACTCCCATCATAAACATGAATCTCCACCTTGAAATCAATTTTTAAATTCTGGTAGTAATTCTTACCTCCTTGATGTGGAGCAGTCCTAACAATCTCGACCTTCTCATCAAAATCAGTTTTCTCGCCATCTTCATTGGACTCTTCGAGCTTCTTCTTACCCTTCGAAGAAGATTCCTCCTTTCTGTCCTTTTCATTGATGAGACCTACGAGCTGATTGAGTGTAGAACCGATCGTCTTGATCTGCTTCTCCATTGCATCAAGCATTACTGAATTATCCCCTTCAGTCATCTTCTCCTTCCTTAATTTCTGGACTCCTTCCAATAAAATAAGGATCTCGCTTAGCTTCTTGTATTGCGATCGAGTCAGGTACCATACACAGGATTCCCTCTTCACAGGATCTGATCGATCTGATACCAACTTGATACGAGTCGTCATGCGAGCACCTTTGATCGCGAAATTATCAAATGTGGGTTGAGAAGAGGATGACAGAAACACAAGAATAATTTAGTATGTGGCGAAGAAAAATACCCTCTCTAGATTATGATATGAAAAGATTACTATCCCTCTCTCACAATCTCACTAGAATCGAGAATAAACTCTCAATTCTCTCTAAACCCTAATCTCTCTTGATTAGAATCTCTCTTTGATTACATCTGATTGATTAGAAACTCTAAATAATCCCTTATATAGGTGTAACAACGTGGATGACAAAGTGGTAAATAACCAAGCCCAAACCCCACAGGAATTCGTGCAAACATAAATCCAAACGAATCAGGAAAACATCAATGAGTCGACTCATGTGCATATATGAGTCGATTCATGTGCATATATGAGTCGACTCATGACACATGGGTCGACTCATGACAAGCATGAGTCGACTGGTCAGAAACTTTTGACAAAACGGCTGGGTTTCGTGAGTCGACTCACGACAGGCATGGGTCGACTCAACCTGATGAGTCGACTCATGTACATGTATGAGTCGACTTACGGGCTGAAAACTGGATGCTTCAATTCTTCGATTCGCCATCTCGTTTCACGCTTCAACCTACGTTCCCCTGCGTTGTTTTACACCCCTATTCTCAAGTTACCATGAGAATCATCTATTCTCAAGCTCCCATGAAGATCGCTAAGTTCCGAAGAGAAGATACACCCTTATCAGGTACTGCTAGTGATTGCAAGTTTGTTTTCGCTCGTTAGGCGTTTAATTTTTTTTAAAATATATGTTTTTTTTATACATAGTCAAGGATACTATAGTGAGGAATTCGTCCATTTGCACACCTCCTCTATCTAAGACTGGGAACTCTTGCCTCCATTTTGTTGTCCCCCCCTCTTTATCACTTCACCAACAACTCCTTTGCACATTTTCATGGTAGTTCCTACGTCACAGTGTTGTGGTGGTACTTACACTTCATTCATCTTTACCCTAGCCCTCTCTTGGTGCATCGTTCAGATACCTATCGCTTGTTAGAATTTATTGTTGTGCATGATACACAGACTGATGGACATAGTACTTTGTGCATCATGCTGACCAGAGCACATATGTAGCTATTTGTTTCTTATGCTGCGTGAGACTCAATTAGTTCGCCTTGTGATTTTTGCACCCCTGACAGAACTCCTTGACCGAGGTTGGAGGAGATCTGGCTGCTTTCTGTATAAACCTGAGATGGAAAGGACGTGCTGCCCGTCTTATACAATTCGTTTGAAGGCAGCTGACTTTGCTCCATCGAAAGAACAAGTTCGTGTATTTAGGAAAATGCAAAGGTACTTTTCTTGTGTCTTCTCCCATCAATAATCTTGAAATAGAGCTAACTACCTAAAATTAAGGCTGCAAAGAATCCATGCAACTTGTTTAAATGTGTATTAGAAACTGATACAGTGTGCTCATAGGTATTTAGATGGCAAAGAGAACATGAATAAAGTTGGATTATTAAAAGATCAGCAAAATTCACCAAAGACCTCACTCAACCTAAATGGAGATGCATCATCATCAACAAAAGTTCCAGAAATCGCTACCGAATCTTCAGCTGGTATATGTGAAAATATGCACCCTGAAAACGAGGTCATTGATTATTTGTCAAATCTGATCAACGAAGCTATAGCTGCATATGTTAGAAGTGGTGAGTTTCCTTCTACCGTTCAGCTCCCCAGAGCAGTTGTTAAAAAGGTAACATTCAGAGCTAAAAGGAAGCTAATGGAAATATCTGAAGGTTTGTTGTACACTAGCAACATCTCTTTTCAGATTGCAGCATTCTTAAGACGCTCATCTTCATCACAAGAAACTGCAAGTCCGATAAGTTCACCAAATCCAAGGGGAGAGCCTTTGGACATTTCACCCGCTTTAGTTGCAGAGAAGTTGGCAGGTTTCATAGAACAAAATTTGGAAGATAGAGGGCTGATTATCAAAGCTTGCAATGGTCACATTAATTTCTACTCTTATACTAAACGGGTCGGCTCATTTGATTCAACAACTGATAAAAGTATGCGAAGTTCCAATGAAGATCCTGCTGAGCGCAAACATAGTTTTGCAGCTCGTGATGGTGAAGTTCTACCCTCTAAAAGACGGAAACTAGAGATAAGAATGAAACGATCAAGTTTTGATTTAGAAGAATTTGCACTATACAGAAGATACCAAATTAAAGTGCATGATGATAAGCCAGAGAAAGTCACAGAAAGCTCATACAGAAGATTTCTAGTAGATTCCCCTTTAGTGTTTGTTCCACCACATAGTAATCACAGGGCTGTTCCTTCTTGTGGCTTTGGCTCTTTCCATCAGCAATATGTAATTGACGGGAAACTTGTTGCAGTAGGTGTGGTGGATGTTCTCCCAAAATGCCTGTCAAGCAAGTATTTGTTTTGGGATCCTGATCTTGCCTTTCTGTCACTCGGAAAGTATTCAGCTCTACAGGAAATAAATTGGGTGAAGGAGGCAGAAGCGCGTTGCCCCAGCCTTCAATATTATTATCTTGGCTACTATATTCATTCCTGCAGCAAAATGAGATACAAAGCAGCATATCACCCCTCTGAACTTCTCTGCCCTCTTCGTTATGTGTAAGTTTTCTGATATTCTGAACCTACTGACTCTACTTCTGAAACTAATCTAAGTTATGGATTTTAGCCTATCTATTGACTGATCATATTCCTGTATTAGCTTGAGTTTGTGGAATTAAATCTATGAGGGCATGGAAGGAACCTTAGAAGTTGGAACATTTTACCTTTTTAGTTTCAATGTTTGCATGTCATAGTACATCAACCTTATGAAAGAGTTAACTAATGGAAGGCCTGTTGGAGCTTTAGAGTAGGTTTTGCATTGAAGGATGGTTGATTGTTGTAATGTTTAGTAACTATGCGTACGACACTTAGGATATCTGGTTGCATGTAATACATAGGAATATCATTAAAATAAAGGCTTGAGAAAAAGTGGATGGAACATCCTAGTGAAGACCACTGTAGCTAACAGTCAGCTATAATGTTCTTCCATTGTTTTCCTATTTTCAGAGGAAACAAGCTTCCAAAAGTGATAAGGTGGCATGCTTCCACTCTTCCTTTTAAAAAAATTTGGAATTCTTTATCAAATTGTGCAAAACAACCATAACTCCTCCTCAGTCCAGTAAATAAGTTGCCTTTAAACCCCCCCCCAAAAAAAAAAAAAAAAAAACAAAAAAGGAAAAGAAAAAGAAAAAAAAAGGTCTCATGTGATCAACCATGCCCATAGTTTCTCATCTGAGAAGTATGGACCTGAAGTTTGATATAGGGAGATGGAGATACTACACAATAGTTCCTTATAAAGTAGCCAAGGAACAGGTCAATATGATTGTTAATTTGGTATATAGACGTGTGTAAATGCGCACATGCATGTGTGTGCGTATTTTGACATGTTTTTGCATCTGAATCATATTTTTCTAATAATATAATAATGATTACATGTATACTGAAATTTCAACCCATGTCGCATTTTGATGACTCCATAAACAAATAAAACCTTTGCCTCTTCTGCTTTTTAGATGGAAACATATCTGTTGAATGTCGTTTTTAATTTAAGTATTCTTTTTTATATATGAATTAAAGTAAGTAAATATCTTGAACATGTGTAGTTGAAAAACTGTATGAGAAATGTAGGAGATGTGTCGAAAGTGTCCTATATTAGAAATGTATTGTGTGTAATTGATGATATGTTTGGGAAGGGTCCTGAATTGTTTGCCACGTGCCAAGTCAACATGTGAGCATGGGCATAGGTACGCCGTCATTATAAAAATGTCTGTACTGCATAGCTTGGGCTAATCTCTAATTGGCAAAATTGACCTAAAAATTTCTTACTATAATGTCTTGCATAATTGCATTGTAAGTTGCAGGTGGATAAGGATTTTTCCACTAGCATGTCAGCAAAACAATTATATCGTCATTTAACTAATGAAATAGAGTTCTATTTGCAATGGTACCACTTTCAGCTAAGACCAAGTAGATAACTGGCAACACGATATTGCAAAAGCATTTACTGTAACACAACTTGCAGAGGTGCTACCCAACCAAACAAGCCTGTGGCAATGCACAAGTTGAAAATCTCATCATATTTATTTCTTTTGTTCCTGTGTTGAAACGCTAGTTGCACATGCTTATCCTGCTACTAGTTATATGTGCATTGTTAATTGCTTTCCTTATGGTCGCTATGTTTCTTTCTTGTTGTTACTTAATGCTTATTGGTTAAATGGGGATTTTGCAGGTGGGTGCCATTTAAAAATGCAAAACCTTTACTTGATAAAACGGCTTATGCCATATTATCAGATCATATGATGTTGAATAATCAGGAATCATCAGCACAGATGCCAAGCATGGCTATTGGTAGATCAGACTCTCCTAATGGGGATGCCCAAGGTAAACATTTTAGTGATGAAGGTGTGGAAACAGACTTTGATGTTGAAGGTTCTGATTCTTGTGTGGATAATGAATCAGACTCAGAATCTAGCTGTGAATTGCATACAGATGATCTGGAACCTTTTGATATCAGTAATATTCTGATGGATGTGAATGGTTCACGCTTCAAATTCAAGGTTTGTATATTCTTTTGCCAATTTTTTACTTTCTGCTGTGCCTTAAAGATATAGGTACTGCTGTCCTTTTTTTTCCTTTTTGGTGTGAGTATGTGCCTTAATGAAAGTGAGTCTAGTTTGTATAAAACATTTAGAGGACGAGCCTTGGCACAATGGTAACACAACTCCGTTATGACGTGGGTGGGTCCAATTGTCCAAATCAGGGAGACCATGTATGACATACTAGGGCACAATTATGATGCCACATGGTGTATGCACAGGTACTCTGATTATAATAATTCCTATAATGAAGTTAAGAATGTCGGACTAGCATTTTGCAAATTGCACTTGCAGTTATAGTTGCAGATATTTGTTTTAGGATATTATTATTATTATTATTATTATTATTATTATTATTATTATTATTATTATTATTATTATTATTATTATTATTATATTATGACTTTTGTTAGGTCTGGTTATAATTAGAGTTGCAACCGCTTACAATACAAAAAGTTTGCAACTGCGTCTTACGCCCAAATCTGCATAGGCTATCATCTGCTACCTGATGCTTTTTGCAACTATAGTTGCAACTACATCTATTAATTACAGAGAAACAAACAACCGTAACAATGTCACGATCCCAATTTACAAACCTAAAAGAAATATTGGAGCAGGACTAAACTTGTGAAAAGTTATCCAAAAATATACATTCATTAAAAGACCATCAAAATAATTTCTTCATTGAACTAAAACCAACAATAAATATTCTCTATAATCCCAAAAGTCAACATTAATCCAATTAACTTGATAAAAATAAATATTCCTCAACTTGAAATAAAACTCGACCTAAAGGAAAGAATCTCATTATTACAAAACTCTCAATTTATCAACTAAATATCGAAGACTTTATTTAACCTTCACCTAGAAGACAAATAACGATCTCGAATTTTATTCCTTGCTCCGTTCTAAGAATTTGAAAAAAATCATCAATTCCACTTAATCCTGAGTCTCTGAAAAGAATGAAAACATCACAATGAGTTCACAACTCAATAAGTGAAAAAATTCGTACATTGAACACTGGTTTTGCAAAAATTCAAATATTTCGACAAACAATAATCAAAACACTGTTATAAATAGTGGTAAATAGTCCCGTAATAGCGGCGCTAATAGCGTTAATGGTCCCTTCCCGCTACGCTATCGTCCAATAGCGGTGACATATTGCTGAATATGCGTTTTTCTTTCGTAAAAGCGGCTAATAGTACGCCCTAATGGTAAATAGCGGGCAATTGTGTGCAAAATCCGCTTTTTGACTGCTATTTACAAGCGGTTTGGGGTTTATTTTTTAAAATTAAACTCAACATTTAACCACTACATTCCACCGCCTCCCGCGATTTTCAGCGTGCTCCCGTCGTCTCTCATAGCCTTTGTCACCTAACTCAGTACTTTCTCTCACCTCCTTCACCATGAACTCCTCCTAGAATACTCTCACCGCTCAGCTTATCTTCTCGAAGACGACGACTCATTGACTTCTCATCCAGTCGTATTTGGTATTATGTGACGATTACATGTCTATTTCATGTTTAGAATCTCCTTAAATCATCAAATATACACTTTTAGATTTTCTAGATTTTTTTAATCTTTTTTTAGTATTTACACATATCTAAATTAGACCGCTATTTGATTTTACGTTTTTTACCGTTATTTTACCGCAATAGCCCCAAATAGCCTTAGCGATGCCTCACCGCTACACGACGACGCTATCCGCTATCGATAACATTGAATCAAAATATAAGAATGATAGGGAATCATCAATGGACTCTAGTACTTGATGCAATTATTTAAGAAAACTTAAAAATCATGAAATAGAAATAAGTAGGTCATGTCTCAATGCAGTCAACACTTTATACTCCAGTTGACTCGATAAACCCCACAATTATTAAGTTCATGGTTCCGGGGCGGTGAGACTAGGGATGTTACCTACCCATTTAACATCCCTAGTCTCACCGTCCCGGAACCATGAACTTAATGTAGGTTTGGGTATAAAATGGGTGGGCCATAAATGGCGGGCATGTTTTGCCTATTTACCCAGTTATGGCTCATTTAACATTTTCTAAATGGGCGGGTTTTTACCCGTCCATTTAATAAACGGGCCGTCTATTTACCCATTTAACTATATTAGCTATATATGTATAATGCTTTTAGGGTGTTTTTTGTAAACTTTTAGGGTTTTTTTTGTAAACTATTAGGGAGTTTTTACAAAATTTAGGGGGCTTTTTGTAAACTTTTTGAATTATCAAAATATGCACAGACATGTACATAACCCATTCAGGAATAGCATGAACATATTGAACAAGATAGCATTAAAATTACCAATCATGTATTTTTTTTTTCTTTTTACTATGCCAAGCGCAAAGAACTCAAAGAATACATCACTTGTAAAATGATATACGTTGTTTATTGCGATAACCAATACCACAAGAAGCCACTTATGTCACATCGAAAAGAAATTCAAATAGAATTCAAATAGAGCATAACTTTTTCGAATGTGCAAACCTGTCTTATGAATAAACATCACAACTCGTCTTAAAATGCCACAATAACCCCAATCAAAGGAAAAATACAGACCGAATTTTAATGGGATAGGGATCATAACAAACACATTAACCAAACATCAAACCCCTCACGAGAGTCCACATAATTGTTGAATTGACAATTATTCATTTCAAGTATTGCAATGCGAGGGGCCACAACCAAACCCGAATAGAAAAAGGAAACACAACAAACCTAAAATCCCTATTCATTGAGATAATCACCAAGCCTCTCAACAATCATATTGCACTGCCCAAGAGTCATTGGCTCATCATAAATGCCGAAGATCAAAGCAAGATTAGTTTTCTTGATTGTAACACCTCATGCACCCTGAAAGAAACAAGCAAACAACCAGTTCAATTATGTTAAGGATAAATATCTTTGTATGAAAAACAAGCAAACAACCAGTTCAATTATGTTAAGGATAAATATCTTTGTATGAAAACAGAGCATAAAAACCATGAATAATTTTATTGTGTTTCTCTTTTCTATAACAAGCAACTAGAAATTTCATCCTGTGCCACAATACATGAAACAGATGCACCCAATAACGAACAAAGTTGTCTAATTTGATCAAGGCCATAGTGTGTGATTATACCTAGAGTTCGAGTTCTTCCATAAGTAACTAGAAGCAAAATACATAAGGGCTAATTATTTTTATTGGTCAAACTAACATACTAAGAAAACATAAAGATGGAATCACTTTGCATTTCTCAACAGTGAACAGAAAATATCTGAAGAAAGGAACTGGAAAGCATACATTTTGCCAGCCATAACAGGAAATAAATTAGAACTTTAACTAAAAAAGCCACTATTTCTTGTTGACATCATAGTTCAAACTTGACTACGACTGATTCGCTCCATGTTTGCAGGATGCAAGAAATGCGCTTAAGATACATAGTAGAAAACAGGGAATTCTATCTTTGATACTAAGGATCCAAACTTGTATAGATTTTTTTGCATACACTTCATTATAGTTTCTAATTTATTACTATATTGCATCCAAAGCATTACTAGCACCAGACTAAGGAATATAGACATTCTCAACTTCCCTCAGATGATCCTAATCATTATTACTACGCTCTAGCTGCTCAATATCAAACTGAAGACTTCAAGAGAGTGTTGACAATTACAACATCCGGCAGGACTCTTCTTGGACTATTCCCTACGAGTTTTATTTGAAGACATTAACTGTCCTTTATGAAGTTTTGACGGTAGTGTCAGACTGACTGACGATTAGACTACTCTTCGGTTTGGATGTGAACTTTCTATAACCAGGTGCCCTAAGACACTGTTCTAAATATATGACCACGTGGGATGCTGGTTAGAAAGAGTATTAGAACAGACAAGTAAATCATGGACTTATTTATAATTTATATACACATTAACAGTTAAGTTTTGCTGATACAATGAACTCAGCCAGCCTAGCAATTTGTATCAGTCATGGAAAGTTGCTTCTCATTGAGCTTCTCTTTCATTCATATCACAAATTTATAAAGTCTTGATTCAACCTGACTTAAGCTAAATGTAGACCAATCAATCTTAGCCAATCCCTAATCGTTCATTTTAGCAAACCGAGACAATCGACTGTCCATCACATCATATCGGTGCAAATATTTGTAGATACATGCTAATCAATTTGTATCAGTCATGGAAAGTTACTTCTCCTTCAGCATGTCTTTCATTCATTCACAACTTGCTAGAGTCGTGATTCAACCTGACTTTAGCTAAAATATAGACCAATCAATCTTAGCCAATCCCTAAACCTTCATTTTAGCGAACTGAGACAAACGACTGCCCATCGTATCATACCAGTGCAGATATTTGTCCGTATCTGCTAATCAATCACTAAAGACCTAAAATTCATATGTACGAATTCATATGTACGGCCAAAAGATACATGGTGGAGGAAACACATGAACGTATTCCTCCAACCTCATACAAAAACATACATGGCGGAGGAAAAAAGAACGCGACCATCCTCTCTAACATACACACCAAATATCTACAGAGTTAGGAAAAGTGTAGCAATAGAAATGATAATGAACCAACATGATAGTAGAAATTTTAAAAAAGTAGCCGCCCAAAATCTTGGTTAGTTGCATATTACACCCCCAAATTTTCATATTTAGAGCTTAGATTCTTAAGTTGTGTCTTAAGAAACACGCGTAGGTAGATTTAACTGCCATTTCTCAATCTCTACTGTTTGCTAGTATAATTTTTCATCTTATGTACGTGTAGCTAGTAACAGCTTAGTGCATTATTTGGACAGGAGGGGGGAATGTCTACAATAAAACTCTACGGAAATAATTCCTCCAACTCGATCCTAAATTGCTGAAAATCCTGTTTTCACGACATAGGAAACCTGTAAATTTGCAAATTTCAGAAAAAAGAGCGAAAATTTCTTAAATCAAAAGAAGAATTATCAGCTTCTTTATACTAAGCTTCACTTCGCTCCTCCAAATTCCCCTCAATACCGCACATTCATTAGTTAGATAGTGTAATTTTGGATTTTATGATATCTAATGTTAATAAAAAGTTAAAAACTTTTTTCTCATAAGCACAAATTTCACTTTTATACACTAAAACAGAAGTTTTACAGCAAAAAGAAGCAATTTCATACAGTATCATACCTTCACTCGTGACCTCCCAGGAGACGAGTCGCCTCCAATCGGAACACCGATCGAAGTCTGCAAAAATCCCCATTCCCACCATTACAACGAACGAAATCAATCAAAGAACAAGAATTAGTTAACGAATCTTCACTCACCTGAGCTGCAAACGCGTGCGCCATCGCGAAACTCGAAGAAAGACTAGGGTTTCCCAGTTGAGGTGACGGAGGAGGCTCTGGCTTCACGGTTGAGGCGGCGGAGGAGGCTCTGACTTTGAGAGGCGGTTGAGGCAGCGGAGGAGACGGTGGAGGAGGAGGCGAAGGAGGCTCTGGGTTCGAGAGGCGGTTGAGGCGGCGGTGGAGGAGGCGGAGGAGGAATTGGGGTCGGGATTGAGGCAGAGGAGGAATTAGGGTCGGGGTTCGAGAGAAAAGAAGAGCTCAGAGAGAAATTAGGGTCGGGATTTAGGTTTTTTGTTTTGGGAATACGAGCGGGCGGGCAAACGGGTTAATAAACACCACCCATTTAGTGCCCATTTAATATAATTTAAAATGAACCCGCCCGATTAGACCCATTTAACTAAATGAGTGGGTTTTGGGCGGACCAAGTAATTGGCGGGCTAGGTGGGTAAATGAGTATGAGCAAAAATTAACTTCCCTAGGTGAGACCCAAATTTGGGCTCTTAGCGCTAAAATAAAACCTCATAGAGGCACATTGAGCCCTGTTTTAATAACTTGCTTATATCCGACATATACCGGTATATTGATCTGAGATGCATATGCTTTAAGAAAATTAAACAAAGTTCGTAAAACGAAATACGTTATACAAATATGCCAAAGGCTAACCAATAGTGAAATCAATCAATCACATATGCATCTCAACCTACTACTATATGAAAAAACATAACAATTGACAAAGAAAATAAGCAAAGGCTTATATCAAATAACCACGTGCAATAATCCAATCAACAATCAGTATGCGAGCAATCATACAAAAGAGTATAATCCATCAGAACAACTTACATATAGTCAATATAATATTATATATTAAAAAAGTACACTGTGAATAATGTACAAATTCACCACTTACATAAACCCGAAAGACTATCGGAATATCAATCACAATGCCTCCTCGAAGTCCCTTGGAATTCCTACATAATATTTATAAATAATCATCAAAATTACCGTATAATCTATGACGCGAAGGCCTATAAAAAATAATTTTAGGATATACCAACTTAAATTAACTATACTAAAACCAATCAACATATCCTATTGTACCCTATAGCCATGGTTAAGCATTGTATACATAACAATTTTTTTTAATATGGTAACTCAAGGTCACAAGCTAAAATTAAATGGCCTTGTATAGAAATGAGGACAGAAGGCGTGGAGACCAACACAAGAGGCAACAGAACCAAGGTTTGGTTCCACCATGGCCATGGCCTCAAAATATTGAGATGTAGCCATAAATTTCTAAGTGGGAAATATAAAATACCTAGAAGTGTTCTTGATCCCAACACGACTGATAAAGAAACCTCTTTTTTTCCTGCGGAGAAGTGAACACGACTCTCAGGTTGGAGACGTGGCTGAGTCCAAACCCGCGTTGATGATAAGGGAAAGAAGGAGAGACGGCAATCAACCAGGGGAAAGGAGTTTTTTTTCTTTGTACGGCGAAACAGAGATGGCAAAAGAAGGAAGAGGCTGACGGGACAAAGAAGAAACAGCTGGGGTAGGGTTTTGGGTATTCATAAAAGTCCTTTTACTAATAGAACCCTAACAATTTATGCATAAAAGTCTTTTTACTTTTCTTTATATATATAGCCAATAAAACTTAGAATTTTTATAAACAACTTCCAAAATGTCTTAGTTGCATGCAACTATAGTTGCAGCGGATCTGACAACCCTTATGTAAAATGTTCTTTCTGGGTATTCCTCTGTAAATGACTACAACATAGTTTTGGACTGATAACGTAATTCACTTTTAAATTTAGTCATACCAAACTTGTGAGATTGATTGAAAGTTTGTCTATGCGGATACTAGCAAAAACGAGTAAGAAGGTAAATTGTGCAAGTGTGTTATGTGTTGGTTTAGGTGCTTATGTTTCTTGCAGAAGTCCGAAGATAACCTCTCAATTTCATCAGGAGCATAACACTTATAATTTGTTAATAAACTTGATGGTATATTTTGCTGTATCTTTGGCAGGATTTTCCAGTCAGCCAGTTTCAAGTAATGAAAACAAAATTTTCTACATAAACAACTCACAGAGTGACAAATAATGATTATGGAGTATGATTAGAGATTTATCCTCTTGCGTGATGTTGGTGTAGTCTTTTTGTTGTGAATGCTGATACTATAAATTCAATGTACATAAAGATTTGAGGGCAATTCATCAAAACATAATTACTTTTCTGTTGCCCTAATTATTCACTCTACTAATCTTGATATGCCGGATTGAAATGCCTAAAATTTTGTTATTTCAATATATTCAATTTCATTTTGCCCATGCATGCACTTTTGAAATTGGATGTATGTGTTCTGTTCATGCACGCTTGTGGATTATGCTTTGAGAAGATGCAAGGTTTTTCATTTACCTATGACTTCCAAGTTCTACCAAGCCAGGTTGTACATACTTTGAATATGTCACCATGTGTCGTTTGTCTGACTTTAATTGATGCGATGTGTTTTGTTTTTTTAGGACCTTCAGCAAATGTTTGGTCCGGTCGACGACAGATACATGAACGAACTTGAAATGCAGCTGCGCAGATATGTAAAAGCTGTGGGTGAGGAGCTGTCTAAACGTATGGTTTACTCTCTTGGCTGATTTCATGGAACCTTATTAGGATGGATTCCCCTTTCTTATCTTGGAACTTGCTCAACTGGGGTTCCTCTTACCCTGCATGATTTTTTTACAATGGAAAATAAAATCGATCCATGTGATCCGCTGAAACCAAGTGTGCTACACTTTTATGTGGACATAGCGATTGTGTGGTCTGTTCGAATCTCGGGTGAACTGTTAATATATCATGGCTGGTTCAGTAGATTGTTCTTGCGAGTCAGTTATGTTGTTGGCTTTCTGGCTTGCTGGAGTAATCGTAGGGTCATTTTGCTATATTCTATTATCTGTTAGATTTTTATCTTTACAGATGTACAAGGTCCTGAAATTTCTGTTGTTTGCTTACCCCTTTTCAAGCCTTGTGTGTATTTATGTGAATCAAACTACCAAAATGTCTTTGATTCTTTGTACAAATGTAGGTTCACTATTCTCGCATTTCAACGTGTTGACGAGTAGATCTGATAAAGAGAGAAACCAAAATACACCGGCAATAGCAGACCCAGACAGAGGATAAAATTCTGCTGAGATTTTAATACCCCGTTTGATTAACAGAAGCAATCTCATTATCAATTACGCTGCTATACCGTCCCTGTTCATTTTGTAACCATCCGTTTGAGTGTTGCAGCAAAGTTTCGAACGGCAAACCGGAATTCACTATCAAAGTGCCCCACCCTGGTCCCCTCGGCTTTACCGGGAGTGCACGGTTTGGATGCAAATCCTCTTGCCGAGGGTTCTTGAGCCTTATTTATCTTGGGCTGGGGTTTTGGGCCGTATTGTTATTCCGTGGCTAACTGCCAAAGTGAAAGTCCATGCACGGTGTATTGCTTCTAACTGTTTCAGGCGTAGCGATGCCGCCGGCGGCCTTTCTCTAATTATCGACTACGGGGTTCTGCACACGGAACAGAATGACACGTAGTTAAGTCGTCGCGTGGACTGAAACCAATCAAGCTCGCTTTCTGAAGATCATCGTAGATCATAATTTGGGTTTTTTTTTTTTTATATAAAGGAAACCACCACGAAATATTATGATTTTTCAGAGAACCACCATTATTTCTGCTAGAACCACCATAAAAATATGAATTTTTTACAAAGGGCCACAAAATTATAATTTACATTAGTATTTTGTTAAATGATAGTATAAAATAACACAAATGGCCATTATAACAAAAGTTTGATGGGGGTGAGTGGAGGATATTTTGAGGAAATTGAAAACTTTTTGAGGGAGTTAATAAAGTTTTAAAGGGAAATAATATGTTTTGTTGGTACGAGAAAATATAATATAGATTAGTAGGTCTCACCGTGAGGGTATTTTAGAAATTTAGCATATTATTTAACATGAAATAGACGAAAGTTACGATTCGGTAACACTTTTATTAAGAACGCATATTTTTATGGTGGTTATATAAAAATCAAAATCTTTCGTGATGGTTCTCCGAAAGACTAATGTATTAATTAAACGAATGTTTTTTATGGTGGCTTCAGACAAAAAACCCTTATAATTTTACAGCCTCCTCGCTGCTTTCTGCTGGTCTCAGTCGCACGCAAACGAGTGACGTTGCGGACAGCGGAGGGCAGTGCGGTGCAGTGCATGTGCATCAGCGTCTATGAAGGTGCGTGTGCACGTGTGCAGCTGCAATCTTATCATATCTGTCAGAGTTGCTTCCCTTCATTCACGATTCTTGATTCCTTCCTTGAACTGAAAAGTGCCTCTGCACGTGCAAGATGACAGATAAAGAAAAATGTTAAAAAGGGAGTGGGCCAAAAGTGGGATGGGAAGGGATGGGGAGTTTATTTAAGTTGGTTGTTGCGCTAAACTCCACAAGCTAGAAGCCATGATGCAGTCAAAAAGAATGCCATTCCTATTCCTTTATATATCTCTGTCGGTTTCTGTAACACAACCATTACCACCTATTCCTCCTACCTCCAAAGTTAACTTTTATAAGTACATACGTACTACCTTATACTACGCGTCATCAAAAGATTATTAGCAAGGGCTTCAAACAAAAGCTATGAACTAATTTTAACCCAAAGGCCCAAGTCCTCTTTTAAACTTATATTTCTTTTTTAACCTATTCAATGTGGGACTATAACTCGTGAACTAAACTATACCCACGTATCACTTTACTCGTGTGCTAATTAGACCATACGTTCAGCACATGACTATCAAACATTTATATCATGCTTATGGACATAATGTGGGCTTTAAACATAAGCTAATTAGAACTAATTTTAACCAAAAAGTCTTAGTTACGAGGTATTAGCCCCAACTCTTGTTTTAAACTCATAACTTCCTCTTAATCTATCCAACGTGGGACTATACTTACATATTAATAACCCAAACAAGAAGGAAGAGGAGAAGCGGAATATCTAAGATATGTAAAAGAGAGGCTACATCAAGGAAGATCTTTCCAATAAACAACCACAAGACTTATATACCTTCTGCTTATGGTTCTTAATTAATTTGCAAAATTGATCTTCTACCACAAGCCTCAAGCAGAAAGCAGCACTAAAAAACGGTCTGCTAAAAGAAGTTCACAAAAAATGCTGTCTTTCTTCGTCTCTTGCGAAGTATGTTAGCCATCAGACCATTCATAAGTATTATAGATATTTTTCCCCCGGATGAAGAAAGTCTACAGAAGCCGTAACTCTGTAAGGAGCACGATTAGCTATTAGCTTCCGAAGTTGCAGTATCGATCTTTTCAGTTTTATTTGGACGAAATACAAGAGAGAAATCAAATTTGGGTTTCATATTTGGATATGTGTATCAGAGACTTCTCGACGATGGACTGTGATCGGGTAGCCCTTGACAAGCCGAGTGGTGGGAAAGAAGATCAAGCTGTCTTGCTCCGCCATATCCCAACTGATGATTGTCCAAATGAAATGAAAAAAAAAACATAGATAAATACATAAAACATAAAACAAGAAGTAAAGGAATAAGAAAAGAAACATGTCACTTCATACATCATACATTATGTATCATGTAAAACAGGGTTATGAACCAACAAAAGGAAATGTTGATAGCATGGTAGGGCAAGTATATAACATGCATTAGTATGTACGTAGATATATGTCATATACCTGAAACGAGTAACAAGATGGTGGATGAAGATGGAAATCTCAAGGCGAGCAAGCTCATAACCCGGGCACAACCGCGGTCCTCCCCCAAAGGGAGTAAATACACCATTCTCACATCTTGTCTGCACACAAAATTACTCAATACATGATCAGTTCAATCATCCATATATGAATTTACATACAACAAAAGGGTAAAAGTGAAGGTTGGAGGAAGTTACCTGCCATCTCCATGGATTGAAAGTGCGGGCATCCTTGAAGTTTTCTGGATCCATGTGCACTGCTCGAAATGAAGCAAATACCTTGCATCCCTTTGGAATCCTGTATCCTGTCATTCATCCAAACACAAGGGAAAGGAGCGCATGAGAGGTGTCAGTATCAATATGTTTCACTAGTTATTAGTGATTGTCTAACATTATTGTTGTACTATCTCATTGTTTTAGTTGCATATCAAGCAAATGTGGAGGAAGACCTTTAAAATGAATATCAGATGTAGCTCGTCTGAATACTCCGCTGACAATGTTGGCCACTCGAAGCGTCTCATTGATTACCTGAATCATTAGACACAACAAAGTCATGAACGACTGATCCTGCACTACAAGGGAATCATTTGTTTCTAGGGAAAAAATCCAAGTTGTTGATGATTTTTGATAAATTCCGAAAGAGAATTGAGGCGATGATGATACATACACACTGAGTGAATCGCATGTCCTTGTAATCGCTCCATTCCAAGGGGTCTGACTTGTGCTTCTTCTTGGCTCTGATGTCAACGTGTTCTTCCTGCAGTTCCATGAAAAATTAATTCAACAGACATTAATTTTTCCACAAAAGGAAGCATAAGTTAAGATATTGGCCATTGGTCATCCCACATATTATGTATTACATAATCTCGTTATTTGCTTCTCCAGTTGGAAAGTAATATATAGTTTTGGAGTATAAAGGTCGTGGGCTTCATGGACAGGTTGTGAAAAATCAGCCGATGAAATTGATTAATTACTTGAAATGTATCAAAAGATTTAAATAATGGTTGAAAACATCATGATTGGTGAGAGGAGGTCAGCTCTTAGACTACATGCGTGATGTACTTGTGGGGCAAAAAAAGCAAATCATACTGGCATGCGAGGTTGCACATGCAGAGTAGGCTGCAAAGGTCTTGCCTTTTAATTACTTTAACCAGTGTTGCATATACATGGGGTATAATAATAATTTGGCTATGACAAGTTAAAATTACAGCTTGTAGTAGTAATTTAGTGCACATTTGATCCCATGGACCGGATGCACTTGATATTTTCCCGTTGTTTTCACGGAAAAAGTATCAAGTGCACCTGGATACATGACATTAAATGTTCACCCAAATGATGTTAACCGTTGGATCATTAGATTTCGAGATCCGTGCCCAGATCCAAGAGTTGACAATCTCTGGGTGCCCGTTTAATGCCATGGGCCATTCTAACCGGATACTTTCTCGTCTCTACGACCCAACAGTTATTGCATTCTTAGTCCCCCACTAAGCAACCAGATAAATATATACTGTGTGTGTGTGCGCGCGCGTAGTTAGTCAAGACTTGTTTAGGATTTAATCCGTCCTAATATGGGATGAGAAGATATAGGAAATGCCATTCATGTCTAATATGGGATGAGAAGATATAGGAAATGCCATACATATCCGGTTCTGTTAATTGCGTTATATTATTAAGATGACGATAAAAGTAATGTAAAGAGAGACGGCAGGGGGTGATGATGAAGGGTGGGTTACCTTGAGGAGGGAGAGAGCAGAGGGATTGTCTGTCAGGAATTTGACCACAAGCGTCATGATAGTCGGGGTGGTTTCATAACCGGCCACTAGAAGTGCCAACAGAAAATCCACCATCTCCTCCTCTGAGAATCCCTCCTCCGCTTCCATCAGTTCATCCAGCATGTCATTGATTCCCTCTCCTCCATTCCTCTTTCTCTCCTCTTTTCTCTTCCTCACCACCCCTCTCAGCTTCTCCGCCACCTTCATCCGCGCCTGATAATTTCATTCGTCATGATCAGTTTATATATACAAACATATATATATATGTAGAGAGGTGGGAGAAAGGGAATTAGCCATCATATATATCTTCATCAGGACAGAACGGGGATCAAATTTAATCCAATTAATCAAGCACCAGGTATGCAAGTAAGTGGAGACTATAGTTAGTTAGTTAGTTAGTTAGTGGGTCGTGAAATCAACGCGCGGTATATGTATATAATCGTGTAATCAACCTGAATGGCTCTGCCGTAGGTGGTGAAGGAGAGGAAGGAAGGGAAGGGGATGGAGAAGAAGCCGTCGATGAGGAGGAGGTACTCTCTCCTGAGGGCCTCCGTCCATTCCCCAGGATCGCAGCTCATCAGCTGCTTCACGGTAAGCTGGAAGGTGATCTTCTTAGCCTGGTCGAGGAGAAGCAGGGGTGTGCCGGCTCCGGCGCTCCAGGAGTCGAGGGTGGTGCTGACGAGGCGGTCGATGTCCGGGAGGAGAGCGCGGCGGAGGACGGAGAGGGAGGAGAAGCGGGTGAGGGTGAGGGAGTGCATGCGCTTGTGGAGGGACCCCTTCATGAGGACAAGAGAGTGCTTGCCGAGGAGGGTGGAGATGGAGGAGGGGTAGCTGCACTCGAACGTCCTCCCCTCCCCTCCGACCACAAGCCTGTTGAACTCGTGGTCAGCGGAGAACACCGTCCTCTCCCCAAACACGTGAGAGGTGAAGAGCCTGCTCCCGTTGCGCTTCACCCTCTCGTCGATGAAGGGCTCCGGATCCTCCGTCTTGTAAGCTGCTATCAGCTTCAGGGTCTCTCCGATCACCGGCATACCTTGCCTCCCCGGTGGCAGCCTGTTATTATTATTATTATTATTATTATTATTATTATCATTCTGCTGCTGCAGGAGGTTAGCCCCTTCCTTTTTGCCCTTTGCCCATGACCTCATCAACCATATCGTGACGACAGCAGCAGCAGCAGCAGAGGAGGAGGATGAAGCAATGAGCATCAGCAGCTGCGGCAGAGGCCACTCCGTCTTGAAATTAACAAGCAGAGGACAGACCTTGTTGTTGACTGATTATCCGAGGTAAAATAAGAGGAGAAAGAAGATGGTAGGTGGGTGTCATCATCATCATCAGCAGGGCGGCAGCGGCAGCAACAGCAGCAGGAAAAAAGAATAGCTGACGAAGCAGCTATGCTAATTGAGCCCATGTCGATCGGAGGAGGAGGTTAATTAATTTGCAGCAAAGAAAGAAAGAAAGAAAGAGAAATGGAGCGGAGGCCCAAACAAAGGGGAGTGCTCAGTATTAATAGCAAACGATGTTGAGGGGGTTGGGGAAGGAGAATGAGGAAAGGGAATATCGGAATAATTAGATGTCACTGACAAATCAAATCAATACATACCCAACGCTAAGGACAGGAGAGGAGGGCTGAGGGAAATGGAAAGGGATAATCTAGTTATTATAAATATATTTTATATAAAGAAAAATGAATTACTAAGTGACTAAAGGGGTCCTCCCCTTCCCCTCTCTGGTCTCTGTCAGATCAAATGACACTACATCTACGTATCCTCTCACTTAATTAGCCACAGCGACTTTCATTTCCATGTATATATATATATATTATATATATATATAATATTATATATATATATATATATATATATATATATATATATATATATATATATAATATATATCTATTAATTCATGAATCGATGGTCATGCCATGAAACAATCAATTCAGTAAGAATTCCAATAGCAGCAGGGGGAATAAAAAAAAAAATCCTCTGGGCTGTACTCAAAGTCTCTCACTCAGCCAACATAACGCAAACGAGCACATTTTGTAAGATTTTTCTAAAAAAGGAAAAAAAAGAAAAATGGCCCTAAAAACTCATCTTATTTTTCTTATGGTGTGTTTGGGAGTTTACTTAAGGGCTTGTTTGGATTGAGGGGAACGAGGGTGAAGGGAAGTTAGGGGAACCATTCACCTCCATTCACCTGGATTGAGGGGAACGAGGGTGAAGGGAAGTTAGGGGAACCATTCACCTCCATTCACCTTGTTTGGGAACACTTAGGAGGTGAAGTTAATTCACCCTAGTTCCCCTTGGTTCACCCCCTAAGGGGGTGTTTGTTTAGTTGTAAGTGAGTTGAAAGTATGAAAGTGACTTTTTTTTGTAAGTGGGTAAACACATCCACGTCAGCATACAAATGACATACATTGTTTGTTTACAAAAACAAGTTATTGTTGAAAGTAAAAAAGTGAGGATGATGTGACAATATTATTTTAATTTAATTATATATTAAAAATCAATTTTTTATACAAATGACATACTATTTTTGTTGCCATGCTACTACTGGAACAAAATAATCAAAGATACAAAGGAATAATGGGTGTGCCCCACATCCTTTAACAACGATTCATGCACTCTTATCAACGATTCCTTATAAACCTTCAGTATTTTTGAAACCAACAATACATGATCACACACTATCAGAAATCAATAATTTATCCTCAATGAAAACAACAAAGTCATTGACATATTTCAAACCATAGCTGCAACCAAAGATGATGAGAATAATATTCAAAACAAGAACTACAATTTCATTCATAGGATAATAAAGTTTCCAAACAAACTAATACCGGTTATCAAACTCCAAATAAATAGAAAATAGGTCTAAATTGAAGTAAATAGTGATCAAACTCTAAAGAAATTCCGCAAGCTAAACTATAAGTTACTTTCAAACAAACTAGTACCACTGTAGGAAACATACTAACTCATATTTCGCTAAAACCCTTCATGTTTTTGATATAGTCATCGACAATCTTCTTTTGTCTTGTAGGAGGCTTTGCAACGAATGTTAACGCTTTATGCTCACTATCTGCATAATGCTCAAAAACAGCATCCAAGTCATCCTCGTTGTGCCCCTCAATAGCCATGATGACCTTATTAAGTTTAAACCTCCAATCTTCAGGCGTAGCGTTTTCAATTGCTTTGGCAATGAAAGTAAGACCTTCCTTTAGTTCTTTAACTTGGTCATCATTTTTTGAATCATTTGATTTCTTCTCCTTTGGTTGCTTAGCCTTCTTAAAATTTTTCCGAGGAGTTGTACCGTTATTGACATTCTGCTTTTCATTAGCACCATCAGCGACATCGCCATCATCAGTCATTGTTATCGGAAATCCACTATTAATGTCATTGTTAGTAGATTCGTCATGGTCTCCAAATGAATCATATATGTTCTTTCTAAATGATCCAGTGGCAAAATCCTCCCCACATACAATCTTCATCTCCATATAAAATGGAATAGGACAATTGAGATATGCTCTTCTAGTTTCATGTGCCTGAAAGCAATATGACAAGTAAAATTAGATATTATATTTATGAGAAAGTTTAATATTGAAAAGAAACTTACAGTCACCTTAATACAACATATTTATCAACCATATTAAAAGAAATACACTTGTATATAACATTACTCATGATCTTTGTCAGTTACCTCAACTATAAGAACAGAAAACATTAGCAATTCAATTAGGATATTGAATCCTATCAAAGAGTTCTGACATGAAAAAAAAAGACAATCTATATAGCGAGATTACTGCACTTATGTTTGGGAACTAAAAGAAGACGTTAGGTACACAGTAATACTCTTGCAATGCTCTATGGTAGTTCCCTCAAGCAAAAAAGATGCCAAAAATCAGTAAGTCCTTAGTCAATATGTCCTTAGTAGAGAGCAGGTATTTCACATGGTGCTTTATATGATGCATGTCAATGAATGTCTAAGTATTCGAGTTTAAAAATCTATCATGAATTTAAGAAGAGGTGCTAGGTACCTGCTTTCTACTAAGGACACTTGCACAGGTGTCAAACAAATAGCCATTTTAAGCACCATGTGAAATACAAACACAAGCTCATGGAACAAGTTAATGTAACATACAGGACTGCAGCTAAGTTAAGCATGACATAAAGGCATCTAAGTGGTTGATGACATTATCATATGTATAGTGGTGTAGGCAAGTGCATTCTCTCCAGACCAACAAAAATACTATCCTAGAAGCATCACATATTGACTAGAAACTTCATACTCATTACCCAGAAAAGATGGCAAACGAGACAGTCTCGTCAATTAAAAGTTAAATAAAAGTAGTGTGAATTCCCCCCCAGAAAGTTTGTTAGTAGACTAATACTCTTGCAATGCTCTATGCATGGTGTTTCCCTGAAGCAAAAAAGATTACAATTTCAATGAATTAACCAAGGGGAAGGGAATTCCCTTCCCTTCCCTTCCCTTCCCTTCACTCAGTTTCCCTTAACTTCCCTTAACCCCTACAAATCCAAACAGGACAGGAAAGGGAAGGAAGGGGAAGGAAGAGAAAAAATTCCCCTTCCTTCCCTTCCCCTCCATTACACCCCAATTTGGGGTGTAAGAATTTGGGCCAAATTTCACCTCCATTCCTCTTCTCTACCCTCCTAAATGAAACTCCCAATTCCCAAACAAGGTTAAAATGAAATTTCTCTTCCCTTCCCCCTCTCTACCCTCCATCCAAACATGCCATTAGAAATGGAAGGGGGAGAGAGAGGGACTGAGAGATTACAATGGTGATAGCCGATATTTTCTCTCTGCGGGAGGCAATGTGGGATGTGAAGAAAGAACAAGATGTTGAAGGGAGAAGAAAAATCGCCCCCTTCCATTTCTGCATCCCACATTGTTCCCCTCAG